AATAAAATAAAATAAAATAAAATAAAATTAAACAGAATTTAGTAAGACAAAGTATTAAAAATAAAATAACAAACTTATAGTGTTTTTTTATACAAAAATTGCGGCTTTTTCATTGCTTTATTTTTAAAATTTAGTACATTAAAACAGTAGAAAATATTAACAAGTAATAAAAAATTAAGAATATTTACAAATATTAATAATTAATAATAAATATAAATATTAGTAAATAAAAAAAAAACAAAAGTACAACAAATTAAAATTTAATTAAAAATAAAATTTAATAAAACACCTTACAATGAAAAACTAAAAAAAATAAATACAAATAAGAAATAACATAAAATAACAAATGAATAAAGTGTGTGTAAAATAAAATGACAATAGAAGAAATAACATATGATAAAAAAGTATACAGATGTTTATTAAGAAAATTACAAAAAATATTATATAAAAAAGTTTAAAATTTAAGTTAAACAAAAAAATAATGTAGTAAGTAGGCTGAACCAAAATTTCTTCCCAAATGGAAAACGGTGGGTTTGCAATACTGTGAATACAAATTCAAAATACTAACCCTTGAAAAACACCCTTTATAAATGCAACATTAAAAGATGTTAAAACAAACTGAAATTATTTCAAGTAATATGTAACAAAATTAGGGCTGTGCGATTAATTGAATACTCAAAATTTTAATTAATCATAAAGTAAATAACTCAATTATTCGATTAATTGATTAATCATAAAGCAAATTACTCAAATATTTTTGTTTTTGGTTAATCAAAAATCTTGATTACTTGAGTAATTGATTAACCGAATAATTGATTAACCAACTTGCTCGAGTAATCGAATAATCGCACAGCCCTAATTTCAAGTAATATGTAACAAAATACATTGTTTCATAAAACACGAGAAAACAAAATGTGACAGCTCAGCGACTGAGTAAGTAATTTGAATTGCAAATCGCGTGATGGAAATTCTTATTTGCTTATTTTGTAATTGACATAACCTGACGGAATTGCAATAAATAAGTAAATGGAGGGTAATTGTGTAATGCTTTCATAGGCAACAGCACCGATTTGATTGAGTTTGCATGCGTGGGGTCTGTGTCTCCCTGAAAAATAAAAAATTGATATATAAGGCAACAAGACACGCTAAACAACTCGATTAGTTATCACGATGCGATTGGAGTGTATTTAGTGGACGGTATATTTAACAAAGCATCGGATTAAACAAAGCAGTATAGACTTATAAATTAAAAATAGTGCCTAAACCAAATATAGAAACAAAATTGGAAAATATTTTTNTTGATATATAAGGCAACAAGACACGCTAAACAACTCGATTAGTTATCGAAATGCGATTGGAGTGTATTTAGTGGACGGTATATTCAACAAAGCATCGGATTAAACAAAGCAGTATAGACTTATAAACTAAAAATAGTGCCTAAACCAAATATAGAAACAAAATTGGAAAATATTTTTTTAAAAAATTAACTCAAATAAATAATTGTTGAAAATAAATAAATACATATACATATCAATATCAATAAAAATGTGCATGGATCGAAAACCCAAAAAGAGACTTTTAAAAGCTTTTAAGTAGTTTCCAAAAAAAAAAAAAACAGTCATTAAAGGAATTTGTAAGAAGTGTAAAAATGTTGCGAATTTGCGAAACTTTCTTAAAAAATTTTCTCTCAGCCAGTTATCTCTTCAAAAAATTAATTTTTCCCTCACATTTTTTGCTAAGTGATTCGAAGAGCTTCTCCTTCAATTTGTAGTGTGTGTCTTAAACTTACATATAACACAAATGAAGGAACCTAAAGTTTTACGATGCATCTGAAGGACGAATGGTTTTATGGGAAGGCAGACATTCACTTGGAGGCTTGACAAGGCCTGCCGGGAGGCTACCGCTGTTAGCCAATACTTTCTATATTTTGTGAAGTTACCCGGACTAGGAATCGAACCTTTGGCTTTGGCGGACGCCAGTTATCTCTTCGAATGTCCAGCTTCCTCCGACCGGGGGTGTTCCAATTGTGTTCTCTGACAGGATCATCAATTTAAGGGGGATCCTNTACCCGGACTAGGAATCGAACCTTTGGCTTTGGCGGACGCCAGTTATCTCTTCGAATGTCCAGCTTCCTCCGACCGGTGGTGTTCCAATTGTGTTCTCTGACAGGATCATCAATTTAAGGGGGATCCTGGAAAAATATTGAAGAGCGGGTAGTACTCGATTATTTAGTTATACATATAAAACCAGCAAGCAATAAAATTACTTCAGCTCAATTTGTAGAAAGCCGTTAGTCTAACCTATCTTGAACGCCGGGCGCAGGACTACCTAAACTCGGTGAACCATCCCAACTTAGTACTAACTAAGCGCTGTCAGATAAACTATCCTGATAAGGTGTTAGGCTATTGAGATAAGACACAATATATCGTAGGCGTGTTTGAATTAGGACAGTGTGTCTGACAAAGCTGAGTTAGTACAAAGTTACTTAGTATAGTTTAGCTTCGAGATAGGATAGGATGAGGGTTATAGGCCAGTTTAGTTGAAGTGGCCCGGGGCCATCGATTCAGGCTGCCGAATTTCTGCGTTGTTTTTCAGATATTGCCGATTATAAGAATAAATATCTACTTCTCTCTACAAGGCGCAACGAATTCACTTAAAAAATAAAACTCAATAATAGGGTGGTCCATAAAATATCAAAATCTAAATTTGTTATGGAGCACGCTTTTATTTTGCTCTATGTACAAAATAAAGACATCCACAAAAATTTTAAAATTTTAAACATATATGTATTTAGAGGTGGTTAAAAGGTTTGAAAAAATTTTGATATTTTTGAAATCGCAATAAGTCGGCAAAAGCTTGAATTGAATTCTGATATTATCGAGATATATATTTGGCAAAGTCAATATTTTTTCGAAAAAAAAAAAAATAGATTTTATCAACCCTGGCAGCGCCCCAAATATTTTGTTTTGAATTTTAAAGTTTCCGTGACAGTATCTTTAATTTGTATGCAAATAGAACAAAATAAAGGAGTGCCCCTTGATTTTGATATTTTAAAGACCACCCTACTGCATGAGTTAAGCAGCATTTTAGGGAAATTTCGCATGAAAAAAGAAATTTAGAAATATGCCTGCAAGCATATTTGAAAATTTTTTGTGGTTTCTAGAAATAGTTTAACGTAATTTAAAATCTATTAAATTAATGAACAAAATATATAAAAATTAAAAAAAAGATAAATATGCTTAAGATACATCAAGTTTAAAAAAAAGAAAAACAAAATATATAGAACTGTAATCAAACGTTTTGAAGTAAGTAATATATGACCAAAGAAAGAAAATATAATAATAAAAAAAGTAAAACCTAATAGTTTATTTTAGAGTCCGACCGATTAAGCGGCATCGGCATCGGCTAGTATCGCCACAAAATTGAGCATCGGCATCGGCATCGGCATCGGCCTTTTTTCGCCGATTCTTTGCAATTTCTTTTCAAATGTTCAGGTGAAGCGGCAGCTAAGGGTGGGTAACTCTGTAAATTTTGGTGTGCTGACTCAGTAACTCCAACTCACTTTAATGAGTCAGCACAGAGAGCTGGCACAAGTGTGCTATCGCACAATTGGTATGTGCATCGAAATTATTGACGATGTTAGTAATCGAAATCGATTTGGAAAAGGTTATCCTTAGCTTCTATTCGTAGCTGGTCGGCAAAATTTTAGAAAGCTGATTTCAACTGGTGAGTTCATTTGCGAATAAATTCCCTACTTAGTTTTGCTTGAGAGTTGTCACATAAGAATCTGTTAAATGGGCTATGCACGTAAGCGGTTACCCAACGCATAGCACTTCACATGTATAATTCGGTTTGGTTTTGACTTTTACGTAAAATGGGTATAGCAGTGCAAGTATGCATAACTGGGTTATTCGCCTTGCTTGTTAAATTTGGTAGTCGTATATTCAACTGATGGTAAGTCTCGTGATGCCATCTATTATGGTACTTTTTGGAAGATCGTATTGTGTGAATGGGTCAGCTCATCAATTGAGTTACCACATCGACACAGTTCTAAACAATGCAGCCGAACCGAGCTATGCAAGTGTCAGCACATCAACTGAGTTACCATATCGACACTGAAGCACACCGAGCTATACATTGTCAGCACATAAACTGAGTTACTGAGTTACAAATATTTTCAGAGGTGAGTCTGAGCGTGCGGCACATTTCTAAGAGTCAGCACAGTAACTCAGCACAGTGCTGAGTTACCCACCTCTAGCGGCAGCCGACATTAAAAACATTTGCAGACAGCTCACAAAAATGATTTTTTTTTTGTTGAAGGGGTTTCACGTTTTTTCCATACAAAAGTATGTGCGACAATTTTCTTTTATATGGAGAACACTTCCAGAAAAAAAATTGCAAAAATTAACGGGATTTTATAGCAGCTTGAAACTTGCACTTAATTATACTAGAATGAAATGGTCTACAAAACTGCATACCAAAATTCTGTTTAAAAAGTTTGAAATTTTTTTGAAACTAAGCAGAATTTTTCTAATTTTTGTACAAAGTTTGAAATCTGAATTTATATGGTGTTTGTTGTATACCAGCTAGACTTTTATAAAAAAAAAATAATAAACATTAAATAAAAAGACAAAATCGATCAAAATATCGCTATTCTTTTATTTTGTGGACCACTATATGTATGTACATACATACCTAGCATATAAGAGTGCAAAAGAGTGTATTTTAGTACAAAACGAAATGAAATTTTATGTTCCTAAATATTTTTTGCTTAGCACCATAAAAAAAAAGTGTTTTATGTAATGTACATAAATGTGATATATGTACATATAGTATTACACTTGCATATGTATGTAAGTACATACATGTGTATGTAATGTTGCATAACAAGCCAATTAACTCAATTATTTGGTTTTTTTTTTTTTTTTTTAACTCCGTGAAATGAACTGATTTTATGAATTAATACATTTATTTGTAATTTTTTATGGAATCGGCATCGGCATCGGCATCGGCCGATTCTTTCCCCATATGCCGATTAATCGGCATCGGCATCGGTACCTGAAAAAAAATTGGAATCGGTCGGACACTAGTTTATTTACACTAAGCCCTAACTGCAGTTTATGCTAATTGGAAAAGGAGATTACAACTCATTGCTTATATTAAATGAAGTAAAAAAAACAAAAATTAAGAAATAAACCTTGACGATCACACTATGTTAAAATTCTTTGAAACTACATGAGCTCTTAACTGCAGTTAAGCTCTTGGTGAAAATAGACTATAAATTAAAAAATGTAAACATCTAAATTTTGATTTATTTAATTTTGTATATTTATGCTTTTTTAAAGTAAAAAAAAATGCAGCTTCGTGTGATCATCCGACTACTGCTGATAGCTTTTGTGAGCTTATGCGGCATGCAGCGGCTACACTGTGCCAAAATATTGTCAATTTTTCCATTCCCAGGGCCTTCTCAGTACATTTGCGTGCAGGCCTATTTGAAAGAGTTGGCGGCGCGTGGCCATGAAGTCACCTCAATTTCAGCCTTTCCACAGAAGAAGCCGCTAGCAAATTTTCGCGATATATCCATGGAGGAGGTGCTGAATGGCTATGAGGGTATATATAAGTACACAAATTTAAACCTAACTTTTACTCAAATAAATATAATTTAAATCATCTTTCGCGTTTTTTTTTTNGCCTAACTTTTACTCAAATAAATGTAATTTAAATCATCTTCCGCGTTTTTTTATTGTCCAACAGAAACCATCGTTAACGTAATCGAAGTGGAGCGCAATAAATGGGAAGAGCTTAATCTTTACTATGATTTCTTTACCGGTGGCACCTTGTCGGTGCTGCAAAGTGCGCGCGTTCAACAGCTACTCCAGTCGCATGAACAATTCGATCTCATCATTGTGGAAGCATTACAAATGGATGCGGTCTATGCATTGGCACACCATTACAAAGCACCAATTATCGGCATATCTGCTTATGGCGCAGATCCAACAATCGATGAGTTGGTGGGCAACACTTCACCCATCTCTTATGTGCCTTTGCCGCTTTCGCAACTCAGCGATCGCATGAATTTCTGGCAACGTCTGCAGAATCTGTGGCATCATTTCTTGCATCAGCTACATATGCACTACTACTATCTACCCAATCAATTGGCCATCTATAAACAATATTTTCCCAATGGCACGGCTGATATTCTGGCTTTGCGCAAGAACTTTTCCTTAGTACTATTAAATCAACATTTCTCCATTAGTTTTCCGCGCCCGTATGTGCCAAATGCCATCGAAGTTGCTGGCATGCATATTAGTCATAAACCAAAGAAGCTACCCGCCGATATGGAGGATTTTATTAAGTCATCGCCTGCGGGTGCGATCTACTTCTCGCTCGGTTCGAATGTGAAGAGTAAGAATTTGTCGAAGGAAAAGATTGCCGCGCTAATGCGCGTTTTCGCCTCATTACCCTACAGTGTACTTTGGAAGTTCGAAGCTGTTGAGTTGCCGGATAAGCCGAAGAATGTCTACATCAGCAAATGGTTTCCGCAGTCGGACATTCTTGCCCATGCCAATGTAAAGCTTTTCATTTCGCATGCTGGTCTACTCAGCACCACCGAGGCGATACATCATGCGAAACCCGTGGTTGGTATGCCTGTCTTCTTTGATCAATTTCTCAATATGGAACGCATTAAGCGCTTAGGCATTGGCGTGTCTGTGAACTATAAATCTTTCACTTACGACGATTTGAGGTGTGCTATATTGGAGGTTTTGGAAAATCCAAAATATACACAAACGATACAGCAATTATCGCGACGTTATCACGATCGGCCAATGAAACCGTTGGATACGGCAATTTACTGGACGGAATATGTGTTGCGACATAGGGGAGCGCCACATATGCGCGTAGCTGCTCAGGAATTGAACTTTATACAATATAATAGCTTGGATACGCTGGCGACGTTGATAGGCGGCATAGTTGGGACTTTAGCGCTGCTCGGTTGGGGTGTATATAGAATTCTAAGCGGACTGTTTTTGAGCGAAGATGTGGAAAAGAAGTTAAAGCGCAGCTGATAATAAATTGTTGCGGCATATGATTTATAAAGAAAACGAGTAAATGGAAAACATATGTCCAACTTGTAAACATGTGCTTTTTTGTATGCCAATTGTAGATAAATAACTATGAGAGATAAATATACGATGAACAATTTTGTCAGTCAAATGCTTTGAGGCGTTTGTGTGTTTTTTCTTTATCAGCAGTTGCCGTTTTCAGAAGATTTAATTAGCTGCACAAAAAGACATTGCTCCGGCAGTCCGTACTTTTTAAGTTATTTTGGGTTTTACTCGGTATAGAATTCTCTAAAAAATCTAAATTTACCAAAAAATTTATATATGAAAGGTGTCCAGAAAATTTCGCGAAAAAATCCCAAAAGTTATCGAAAATTATCTATATATAAATTTGGAAAAATCTCTAAATATTTACCGAAAACTCGCTGTTTTTACGATTTTGAAAAGTTCCACAATGATTTTGAGAAGATATCGAAATGTTTCAAAAAACAGTCAGGAAAACTTCTACAAATTCCAGAAAGTCTCAAAAAGTACTACCAAAACTACTAAAATCTCCCGAAAATCAAAACAAGAAGAGGCACGAAAGCTATCGAAAAAATCCACAAAACTTCAGAAAGAATTTCAAAATTTACCGAAATTTCTTCAAAAATAAAACGCAAAATAACCCGACCATAAAGTTTAAACCATTTTTTTTTAATCTTGAAAAATGCTGAAATGCTAGCCTTAAGATTATGAGATGGGTGTACACCACGATAGTAAGACCGGTATAGACATATGGGGCGGTGGCTTTGATTTCGAAAACTACTTCAGCCGCGGACTGACAGTCTCTCACCAAACTCCAACGCCTAGTCTGCATTACGCAAGCACCGCGCACATGCCCGACGACGGAAATGGAAGTAGTTCTGCCACCTAAGGGCAGGCAGCCAAGTGAGCTCTCCTAAATTTCGCAAGATAGGTAAGGAAAAGTCCAATCATCTAGGATCATGAAAAGCCTCGGGTCCCAGCTCTCACTATCCCCTTTCCGCAAAAAGCGTATGAGCAAGGTATTTAGTTGTTTTCAAGAAGAAATTTAAAATTGAGCTCTGCAGCGAATCAATCTTAAGTAACTCCACTAGGGAGGGACATAGCCAAGCAAGCACCCGCAGTGGTACACAGGCAGCCCCAGAAGGCATTGAGCGAGGCATTTATGGGTTCTGTGCCTATAGGGAAATTCAAGAGCATTTTCTAAGTGTCATTTTATGGTAAAAGTCGTTGTGCAGAGCTTAACTTACGTAGAAACTACCGTAATTAAAAAAATCCTAATTCTTAGCGACAGTAAAAGGCCTTTTTGTCCTTTGAGGATAAAACACCTCTAGTCCGATCAGGGAGGAGCTCAGGAAAGAGTTAATAGGTCAGGAGAACAACACCGATAAAGCACAAAAGCACTTCGCTAAGCCAGAAGTTTAATGCGGGTACAACTTGAAACGATGTAGGTTTTTAATTGACATTCGTAAGCTGACATGGCAAAGCAACGTTGAAGAACTGGCCAGGAAGGGCTTTGCGCCTGGAAACAGCTAGAGGCAAGAAATGGTATCTCGAAACTCACATCGTGCACTTAGGTTATTCAGCAGTCGTATGTCGTATCTTACTTTACAGCGTTACAGGTTGGTGGACATCACTGGATAACTCGCTTACTAATTCTAAACTCACCAAGGTTCAAACGGCGGCATACTTGGTAGTCAAAGGAGCAATGCTATCCACGCCCACTAGAGCCTTGGAAACAGAGCATACATTTCTGCCCGTGAACCTTTTTGGGAAGCTTCTGGCAAGCTGCAATGTTAAACGTTTGACGAAATGCACCGCAAATATGAACCTTGATATTTTTGGAAGCCTAGAATACATAACCCCGCTCCGCCCGCCAATTAGTCTTGAGAAGAAGTTCTCTACACATATTCCTCTTAGGAATGATTGGAATGACGACTAGGTACTGGGACTTCAAGATATCTCTGATGCCGTTCACGCGTTTGAATGTAAGTCTAAGACTAGGAAGCAGGATATATTCCTTGAAGCTCTGTTTTACTTAGCCCAGCCACTGCAGTGTTTTGCAAGCAGAGCTCTGTTTAAAAAAAAGAGGGTGCACTTTAGCTTATCAACTCTTCTTCTAAACTGGCTTTAGTAACCAACTCCTCCGATTACCTAGCAACTTTCAGGTCACTAGAATGCGGTGAAGCCTCGAGAGAAATGACTACAGAATGAAACAAGTTAGCTTAGGCCTTAGAGACATACAATATTACTGCATGACAAACGAGCTTGCGAAGGGAGAGAATCACCCTATCTGATGTCAACTAAGCTCACCGTGCTGGCATACCGCTACCTCTCCGTAAAACAAAAAATCACACTTTTGCGTGAAGGAAAATAAAATATGGCTGGAGGAATCCAAAGGTAGGACGATTAGAAAACTCTCACCCAGCTTCGACTAGAAAAGGTCCGATCTACCACGGCAAATGGCCGATAATTGCTTAATGCAAAGGCATGTCAGCGGAATGAGTCTGCCGGACAATGACTTCTGCCGCAGCTGGCGTGACGAAATCTATCACTAAGATTAAATCACATGTATTTCAAATTAATTCTAAATAATCACCAAAGATCTGGCATCCTACGATTTTTTTTTGCTTTGCTGTTCGTTTTGGTCCAAATGAAACATGAAAAAGTGCTTATTTCATAAAACGTTTTTAATGAAGATTTTCCGAATTTTCCTGAGGTTGCGAGTTTTACCGGGAGTATCGGGAAAGGATTTTGGTCACGTCCCGCCCTCAAATTTCTGAATGACCTACCCGACGCCGCCCATCCTCGCCATTTTGAAATCAGTACCGTAGGTCCCGCGGATTCCCGCGCCCATCTCTACTCCCTTCCCTCAAACAATTTTCTTGGCGAAGTGTTGTGAAGAGTAGGTAGTATATCTACACATCTGTGTATCTATGGTGGCAGTTAGTAANAAAAAATCACACTTTTCCGTGAAGGAAAATAAAATATGGCTGGAGGAATCCAAAGGTAGGACGATTAGAAAACTCTCACCCAGCTTCGACTAGAAAAGGTCCGATCTACCACGGCAAATGGCCGATAATTGCTTAATGCAAAGGCATGTCAGCGGAATGAGTCTGCCGGACAATGACTTCTGCCGCAGCTGGCGTGACGAGAAATAAATTGAAGGCGTGGAACTATAACATCGTCACTGCTCTGCTCTATCGGGTACTAGCACGATGTATTCTATCATTCTTGGGGTACTAGGATACGCACATTTCACCATCACATTTTTGGCTGTCTGGCGGGCCTAAGAGCAGCAGGCATTCATGAATTTTCGCATATTTTAGCTTTATCTACTGGTTCTATACGTACTTAAGTAAGCGGATGGAACTAAGATGACATCTGCATAGTTAAGAATGTTGTCAAATAATCTCTGTCTCAGCCAAAAATACACTATTTCACCAACTTCTTGATTGTGAGGCTGTTTTTATACGACGAAAGCGGAGACTAGTCTCAATCGGTCCAAATAATACGCACACACACTCCATATTAGAGATAGACACGGGATTAAATATTTAATCCCGATCCTGCCCATCCCGAAATTAAACTTTTTGAGTCACGAACCTGCCAATCCCGAATTTTTTCAGAATTGTACCGCGGGTCCTATCACTAGCGAAATCTATCACTAAGATTAAATCACATGTATTTCAAATTAATTCTAAATAATCACCAAAGATCTGGCATCCTCCGATTTTTTTTTGCTTTGCTGTTCGTTTTGGTCCAAATGAAAAATGAAAAAGTGTTTATTTCATAAAACGTTTTTAATGAAGATTTTCCGAATTTTCCTGAGGTTGCGAGTTTTACCGGGAGTATCGGGAAAGGATTTTGGTCACGTCCCGCCCTCAAATTTCTGAATGACCTACCCGACGCCGCCCATCCTCGCCATTTTGAAATCAGTACCGTAGGTCCCGCGGATTCCCGCGCCCATCTCTACTCCCTTCCCTCAAACAATTTTCTTGGCGAAGTGTTGTGAAGAGTAGGTAGTATATCTACACATCTGTGTATCTATGGTGGCAGTTAGTAAGTGTTAAGAAATTAAATATTTTTGCAATAACACAAAAACTCTTGTAAACAATCAAAGTAATGCAATAATTATTTGCAATTTATGTTTGTGATATTGTATCACATTTCTCGGTTCATAAGCACTTTATGTACATATGTATGTACATACAAATGTTCAAATGTACAAACAAGCTTACATTCACTTCTACAACATCTTCTCTCTATAAACGGAGCAGCGCGTTTGATGTCAGTAAAATTTTTATCACAATTTTAAGACATAACCCACTAACAAGTTGTTACATGTCTTACACAAATATCCATTTAGTTAATTGCTTCAATTGATAATTCACCTGTCATCGGCATGTCTTCACTTTAGTTCAAAATATTTTAGTTGTATTCCAAAATCGTAACAGCAATGTCGAAGCAACGACGCATCGCATTCGTAGCAATAGAAATTGCTTTTATAGCAGCATTTTTGAGTTACAGACATGGCTTTGTAAACTTAGAGTCACTAAGTCGGCTTCGTAATGATGATGGTTCAAGAGTAAATGCAACCTTAGGAAATTCCACTAACAACACCACCTTAGCCGAACGGTTAGCTAATAAGGTACGCATACTCTGTTGGGTTATGACTACGCCAGCAAATCATAAAACTAAAGCGTTGCATGTACGTCGCACCTGGGGTAGGCGCTGTAATCGTCTTTTATTCGTTACCTCGCAGCCAGATGAAGAATTGGGCGAAACGCTGGTTATAACGGAAGTTGAGGATACTTATGGCAAAATATGGGGTAAAACAAGATTGGCGTTTGAGCAAATATATCACAAATATGGAGATGACATGGACTGGTTCTACAAGGCCGACGATGATACGTGAGTAAAAAAAAGTCTATTTCCTTTCTATCAAATTTAGTACACTGAAAAAAAGTACTACTATATTGGCCACTTGTCCAGCGAAGAATTTTTAGCAAAAAAAAGTCACAAACGAGCTGATAAGAAGCAATTAAGTTGACGGTGAAACCGCTCTTTCTGGATCTTTCAGTTCCGCAGCTCCGTATTCAAGGAATTTTTCTGTCGAATATGATTCCTAAGTAGCTAACTTGGTTCTTCCCAATTTTTTTTTTTATTTTCTACCAATAGCATAATATAAACAATGTACAAATCTGTACAAATATATCAATCGTGTCACTGCCCTTAGTGTAATAATTGAGAAAATAAGTCTTTGCATTTTAACAGTGCAAAAACTTGCATCAAACCCCGCTTGAATCGTTTGCATAAATTTTCCCAATGCACACCAAGATCTGTTGCTCCCCATCAGGATATGTTTCATTAGAGATGGAATCTAAACCACTATACTCATGGTCCATGAAAAAATCACTGTTATATTTATCCTTATCTGCTAAAATCATTAATATAGTTGAACCTCCTGCGCCCCAGTACAATCAGAAAATCTAAGCTTTTTTGTTTTAAAAACACATCCTCTGAAATAAATTTTTGAGGCTAAGTGACGAAATTTTGACAGTAAAATAATTTTTAAAAGCAAAGGATAAAGCAACGGTAAATAATATGTAAATAAAATGGCTACGAATGAATTCCAATCGATACTGCTCCGCACTAATGATTGCTATGTCAAACACTAAAATTTGAGTTTATTTCCGGTCATAATGCACTTCGTTTTTATTTACAGCTACGCTTTCATCGAAAATATGCGTTACTTACTATACCCTTATAGTACGGAAATGCCGATCTACTTTGGATACAACTTCAAAATGAATCAAGATAACGAACAGGTAATTGAAAACTAAATAATTACATATGTATGCCGCTCCTGTAAGGTGTAAGGGTTTCATTATGCAAGAAATAAAAAAAACAGGAAATATCACCAAATGGTTCTTATGGTTAGGTTAGGTTAGGTTAGTTAGAGATTCTCGAAGAAAGGGGATGCACTTGCACAAATAGTACTTTGCGACCGCTCTCGATCCAACCTAGGTCAGAAGAATGTTGCAATTTCAGATGTTATAGTTATCGCCAAGCGCTTGCTGTGCTGATATGAGACCCATATGCCCAAAAGTGAAAAACAGGAGTACAGAGTTGCCCCAACTGCTTCATAACCGGTGATAACGTTTCGTGTACCTTTCTTTTCTAAGTCGTCCGCCAAGCAGTTTCCATGTATAGCGCTGTGGATTGGAACCCAAAATTAGTGGCTGTCAGAGTAAATGCAATTTCCTCTAACTGGAGTCTACGAATCTTAAAAACTATCCCATTCTTCATTAAATCGCAAAGTCAATGCCTGATCGTTTAGGGACCTTCTTCATCGTAGCAACTCTTGCAGAAGCCATTGCGATGGACCTCGAGGCGTTCTGCAGGTCTGCCTATCAGAAATGTCCTGTGAGTAAACGAAAAGGCCATTGCCATTTTGCTTCTATTGAGAGTGCAAATATTCTTGGTTTTTTCGGATCCCATTCAGGCCACACAAGTTTCCATATGTTTCCACACTAGTACTTGCATCTTAATTATGAGCTCGCAGGTAAATATTGACTCTTCCAAGCTGAGCATCTTTTCATTTCCTAGTATGCCATTGTGTCCCGGTACCCATACCAGATGCAAAGAAAACTAGTTTTTTGACCCGGACTAAACAAACCATATATGTAATTTAATCAAACTAAGGATCATATAAAGGGCAGTGGGCGCAGCAATAACAGGTGCACTAAGATCCTGCCTAACAGATTCCCTAAATGCTAGTCTCAAATGAGGAGAATGAAGTGGGTATAAAAACTGTGGTCAAACTTAGATAAGGAACGATAACCCAAATTTTGAATTAAAGATGGGCCCTAAATGGTAGGCAATCTAAACTCCAGCTGTAACATGGAAGTGCTATTCCCATTTAGAAGGGGACATGGAATAGATCGACTGACCGATAGAGAGCCTGCCGTCGTACGCAGGATGAGTTGTGGTGTAGTAGCGGGTTTCTAATCTGAGGAATCCGGTATTGCTCTGTCTGTAGAATCAAATCTAAGCTGGTTGAAGATTGAAAATTGCCATTGCGCTCAGTACTTTAGTCAAAAACAGTCTCTCTTGTGCGGGTTTCCAGACATAGGAAAATCAGAGGCAATAACAAGGCAGATGAGTTGGCTGAGGCAGGGACATGTTTCGATGAATCCGAAGCGGAGGTACTGTATTGCTTTCTTGGAATAATAGCAAGAGAAACAGGTTGTCCGCTTGGTTGCATTGTTATAGATCAAGGAAAAGAGTATTCAAAATTGTAGCAAATATCACGGGGCACTGGCCTCTAGGCAAATATCCGGAAGCAATAAAACTATGCGGTAATAGAAACTGCGGTAGGTGTCAACTAGAAGAAAATGAACAAAGTGTCCAGCATATATAAATAGATAAATAAATAAATAAGTAAATAAATAAACAAATAAATAAACTAAATACATCAAATAATAACAAGGGACATTACTAACTAAATAAG